CTGCCCAAAGCACCCCCCCACCCCGCCTGCCCCCTTGCGCAACCGCGTCAATCGCGTTCAGGCGCGTTCAGTGAACGCGCGTTCACTGCGTTCAAAAACTGAACGCGGAACGCGCGTTCAATGAACGCGCGGTAACATAGCATGGGCACAGACCCAAACTGTCCTAAATACCCAAAACAGACGAAGGAGCGCAAACTCCTTCCCAACATGCTGTGTGAGGTGGAGGATGCCCCGGGAATCTGGTTCATCGCAGATAGCAACTACAATGGATGGGTATTTGACGACAACTTGGAAGAACCGGATTGGGTTTGACATTACGCCGACTTGGAACCATCAGTAAAGAAACCTGACATCTTCCCCCCGACAGACAACAGGTGGCAAAAAAAAGCCACGGGGAAGGTGACAGGCAACCCAACTAAGATCAGAACTGACCCTTTGATCGACTCGCAGGTAATCAGAGAAGAAAAAGACAGGGAGGATCTTCTTTGGGATTTGGACACGGTCAGGGAACATGCAGTCCAGCAATTCATCAAAGAGCCAAATACCTTTCACAGTTGGCTGAGAAATTTGGAACAAGCAGCGACTCACACAAAGAAAGGGGTACAAACAGACAATAAACGAACACTGGAGAATGTAGGGGACAAAGGAATTCAGGAAGGAGGGCTTAAGAAGAGGAGAGCGACAAAAGCCGGGGGAAAAGAGGGAGTGTCCACGCCCCCGGCTGTAAACGAAGAGAGGGGCAAGGCTACAGAGGCAAAGGAATCGGATTCTGAGCAGGGTGGTGAGGGGAGCAATGTAGATAATGGAGCTTCTACGGGTAGCGAAGAAGATTCAGTACAATCGTTGCAGTGGCTCAAGGAGTATGTGGACAAGGTGAAGAGGGAAAGGGAGCACGCCTTTGACATCCGAGCAACATGCTTGAAACACGCTGAGAGGTCCCAAACAAGTGGTAAAAAAGGACTGGTGGCAGGTATGGGTCTCTCCAACAACCAGTTTGACACGCTTAGGAGAGCTAAACCCGAGGAACTGTCGGAATATACAGTATTTCAGTATGTTGAGAAGAAAAGAGCAAGGGAACAGGGGCTGAAGGATAAAGATAGAACCGTCCCGGAGTCAAAAGATGAGTTTCAGGATTTGCATCCTAAGAAGTGGAGATTAGGTAAGAACCAGAAAAAAAAGAATCCTGACGCAATGCAGACAGATTCCCTCGAGGACTCAGGGCATACGCTGCTGGAAAAAGAAGCGGCGGTGGTCTTGGCCCAAGCCGACAAGCTAAAAAAGTTGAACGAAGAGTACGCTTCATAATTCGTCACGATCTCACACATTGTCAGGGACCTGGCACCCTTGGTAGTGGAAACAACTCGCTCTTCTTGCCTGACGCTGGTGAATATCCGCCCGCTGATCGCAGCAAGGTACATGGAAAAAATAGAAGAATGGCAGATCGCTACAAATGTCTCTTTCCAGATCCTCTGCTTCGAGGAAGGCCAGAATGTGGCTGAAATTCTTCGGGAAAAGGTAACGTCAGACTTTCCTCTGGGGGTCTACGATACCGTATCAGGGACGACGATCCAGGCTGATTCACAGTCTCCCATAGAGCAAGAGGACACATCGTCACAAAGATCAGAACAAGGGAGACAATCTCCCCAAGCCTTTTCTCCCCTGATAGTCAAACTGGCAATGACAACAAGTTTGAAAACAGGGATGAAATGAAGACCCTAGCGGACGGTAACAGCAGTACCGTACAGTGTGCTAGCAGGCCCATGTTTGTCGGCGGAACTGACAGCGGTGTCGGTAGCCTAGTTAGTAACGTCGGGTATATTAGAGGGAGATGGTGACTTGGATGTTGTGCCATTCCAAGCAGATTGGGACAGGTTCTACAGGAGTGAAGACTCTGACGATGACTTGCAGGGATGGCAATCAGACATGGAAAAGGACGGGGAGGACCAAGAAGCGGAGTCGGGCAATTCAAATGATGATGAGGAGGGAGCAGCAAGAACAAAGGATCAAGGCACAACCACAGGAAAGGAGGTTGGGCAGACCGTAGAGGGGGAAGGTTCTGGGGAAGACCCCATGGGGGAGGATACAGGGGGCGGAACACCATCTTAGACTACTCCCTTTAAAATCATAACCACACTGTATAAGGAATCAGGCTGGGATGAAGGAGATCAGGGGATGGGCAAATGAGAGGAGGGATTCGGAAGAGTGGAGAGGCCAAGGGATCATTATTAGGAGTTAGAACATTAACGGCCTGAGGAATGTCATAGATAGAGAAGAAAAATGGAATGACATTCTAAGCGGATTGACGGTAAGTAACAACTCACTGGCAGATATTATACTGTTTCAAGAAACACATCTCTCCTTTTCTCTGGAACACAACCGGATCAGAAAATTGATTGCAAGAAAGATGGGAGGTATAAGAGACGAGGTCTGGGCAGTAGACACTAACTCAAACACGAAAGGCACAACTATCTTGATCCCTAAATCATCCCGTTTCTATGCGGCAGGAAGTGTCTTGAACAAGGAAGCAGACCTCCAGGAAGGCAGATGGTGTTCCATGCACCTTAAGTAGAAGGAAAAAGAGTTTTTCCTATACAACATCTATGCTCCAAACGATGTAACTCAGAGAACATCCTATGTAGCAAGCTCGAGCAGCGCTGTTCCGCCTCTAGTACCATGTATACTTGCGGGTGATTGGAATGCCACCCTCGACCCAAGAACAGACCGCATATCACGGTCCACCCAGCCACCCAACTTTTAGGAGGCCCGACCAATCGAAAACCTGATGATTGACCAAGGGTTGGTCGACCCCTTCAGGACCTTGCACCCTATACAGAGAGCCTTTACCCTAGTCAAGAAGAACCATGCACACCACACAACTTTCTCACGGATAGACTATTTCTTGGTGTCAGGCACAATGATGGGGGCGGTGAAAGAGGCGAAGATCCTCCCCTTGGCACCCTACCCAGGGCTCGATCACAAGCCAATTGAGCTAACTATATGTTTTGAACAACAGGTAAGGAAAGGGGCAGGCTTTCATAAATTGAACAACTCCCTCCTGCTTAGTCAAACCTTCCAAGAAGGAATACAAGAATTCTGGCGCGCGAGGAACATGAGCCGCATACCTGACCAAGACCGATGGGAGTGGTTTGTAGAGAGCTACTCCTCGCTTGCGAAGACAGCAGCTGAGATGTCAAGAAAGCTAACCTCCATAAGGAAACAAAGAAAACAAAGCCTGGAGCGGGCACTTAAGATAGCAGAATTCAATCTGCAAGATGACCTCAACATTATGTACGGGCATTTTCGAAAAAGCACGGGAAGAGCTCGCAATGTGGAAATGGTGGGAACTAAAAGGTCTGCAAATAAGAGTCAGAATGTGTGAATATGATCTCAGTGAATCGATGACGAAACACTAATTTGCACGTATCAAGGCAAACACAAGAACAACCACTATAGACAAGCTGAAAACCCTCACCAACCCGGCAAGGATGGTGGATACTAGTGAAGATATCATGGAAATTGCCAAGGAATTCTATCAAGATTTACATCAAACCAGGACCCGGGCGCCTACCCCAAGTACTACGTCGGAAGCAAGGCAGAGGATGTTACAGTACCTGGAATGAATGATATCGGTAGAGCAAGCGGCAGAGATGGATAAACCCCTATCAAAAGATGAGTTGTTGCAAGCCCTCAAGAGCATGAATAACGATAAGGCACCCGACATCGATGGACTAACCAAGGAATTCTGGGAAAAATTCTGGCTGAGCCTGGGGGGGGATCTCGTGAACTTTTACAAGGATAGTTTTGAGAAAGAGGGCCTGGGTAAACTACTCAGCAGCAGTGTGGTCACACTACTATACAAGAAGGGAGACAAGGAAAACATAAGGAATTATAGGCCCATCTTCCTACTAACCCTTCCATACAAAATTCTGGCTAAGACCTTGACAGCCAGAATCATAAGAATAACTGATAAATGTTTCCACATCGACCAAATGGGCTTCATCCCAGGACGCTACATATTTGACAATGTACTGACTCTAAACGAAGCGGCTACCAAAGTCAGAGAAAGAAGAATAAACACTGCCATTCTATTTTTCGACTTCGAGAAGGCCTATGGCCAAGTTAATTGGGCGTTCATGGATGCAAGTACGGAACGTAAAGGGTTGGAAGAACTTGGGACCGATTTTTAGAAAATGGGTTAAGGTTTTGACTCCCGGAGGTCAATGTAGGGACGTCACACCATCTCAAGTTCCCAACAGTAATAATGTTCGCAGACGACATGACGATACTGATTAGGGCAATGGAAGCATTCAGACTGGCGCCAGAAATGAAGATCAACTGGAAGAGAACCATAGGCTGGTGGCTCTCTGAGGAACCAATCCCAAACCTCCAAGGACCGGAGGCTGACATGTCCTGGGACACTCTAGAGACACCCACTCGTTACTTAGGTATTCTCATGACACGAGGGGGTCTGGCGCCCCAGATGGCTCAGAATATGTTAACAAAACATTTGAACAAGGTGGGGAGGTGGGGGAATATTTACACCTCTCTGATCGGCCGCGCTTTGGCCTTCAACACTTCAGTTTTTTCCATGATGTGGTATATCGCAGCGGTATGGACAATTCCGGATGACTCACTAAAGGAACTAAACCGAGTAGCAAGAACATACCTCTGGACAGGCAACCCCAACAAGGGAAGGTGTATTCCTAAAATAGCTTGGCAATATATTACAATGAAACCAATACAAGGGGGACTGGGAATTATTGACCCAAGGTGCGAGACAAAGCCCTTCAAGCAAAATGGATAGTTCGACTGCTGATCAAACCAAGAACGACATAGAACAATCTTGCCCTGGACAGCATAAGGTCTCTGGCTCCGGTGCCCTCACCAAGCAACATGACGGGTTTATTTTGGGTAATGAACAAAGAATGGGTATTGAAAAAGGCAAGAAGAAGACCCAGAGGGGAAACAAAACAGAACATAGACAACCGCCAAACACCGTATTGGGTGGCTCTCATCCGAATCTGGAGGGCAATAATGCCAAAAAAGACCAACACACCCAAATCCAAGGATGAGGTGTTGAGGCAGCCCTTATTTGGCAACGAGTGGTTGAGGAGCGAAAATGATGAACCATTGTTCTTAGACCACAAGTGGCTATCTTGGGTGAAGAATGGGGTTTGGACAGTCGGACACTTGTGGAATGACGAGAAGAAAGAATGGGTATCGGAGCAGGAGTTAAGTACACGGCTAAAAGGCTGCCACAAAAGAGGCCCTAACCTGCAATACATTACCAATTTGGTCCCCAGGAGTGGAGAGATCTGCTGCAACAAGGCGGGGACTGGAGAAGTGGTGAATGGGGGGTTAAAATTCAAGAGAACAATCCCTCTAGGGCTTTTCAGTTCTCACATCTACACCATTAGTGCGGTTTTCAATTCCTTCCCGATTACACACTCCACGAAGGGTATGTCGTCGATTACGAATGTCAATGTGGAAACCACTGTCATGGAACACTTCCTGCTCAGAAAAGTAAGAGTGTTGGGCACATGGCCGAAGTTTATTTTCAGAATTGACACGACAATTCAAAACTTGGAGTTCGACCCCGGGGAGTGGGTGTGGAAACTAGATAAAGAGACAAACGTTAAGAGGCTCACCCCCGTACAAGACTACACGGTCAAATTAGGGTACTAACTCCTGATTAAAACAAAAGACGTAGAACCGGTGATCAAGGCAAGATGGCAGAAGCTGTTAGGACAGGAAGCGAACAAAATCACGAAGATCCCGTGGAAAACATACAAAATGATCAGACCAGTCAAAATCAGAAGCCTTCAATGGCTGATAATTTATGCAGCACTACCAGTCAATCAATGACTTCATGTTAGAAGGAAAGATTCTGTACCGGACAATTCGGATCAATGTAAGATGTGCACGGAGAATGCAGTAGAGGACACAGTACACTGCCTAATATATTGTAGGGAGGCGACGGACTACTGGGCAAGAGCGTCGACCCTCTGGGACTCCCTCTTCACTACCCCGTTCCCTGAACACCCCATTCAACTTCTCCTTCAAATTAACATCCCTGAACTAACACGAAAAGCGGAAAAGATTTGGTATGGACTCATCAGGAAAGTGACCCTTTGGGTCATATGGAAGGAAAGGTGCAGCAGAACGATTGAAGGTGTCTCCAACGCACGAGAGATGATCTGGACGGAGACGAAGGTAATGATACAGACATAAATTATGTGCAGATGGCGGAAGATCAAGTTATCTTGGTCGGAGGATGAAGAGCAGCAAAACAAGGCTAGAAGGAACTTCAATAAGATTTGGTTGATAAGTGGGAAAGTTGTTGAGTTGCAGGACGACCGCATCTGTTGGAAGGATTGGCACAACTCCAGTTCGGGAAGAAGCTTTGGACAGCAGAGCTCGGCGCACGGGCAAGGCACCCCTGAACCAGAACTTTGATGGAAAAACGCCGGCCTGTGATCAGCATAATTGGGGGTTGTAGTAGGGGTCTGGAAACACGTAGAGGGATGATGAAAACATGGGAGTTGAACTCTTTTTAAGTTTTACTCTCAGTCGAGGAACAGGTTTGAGGGTTTAGGGTTTAGCAGACCTCAAGGGAAAGGCGAAAGCTAATGGCTCAGAGAACGCAATGACTTGCCAGCAGAACGGAGGAGGGGAAGGCGCAGGCGTACAAAATTAATGGGAGAACTCCATGAGGGGAAAGAGAAAAGAAATTTAGGGATCTAGGGGCTGGGATGTGGAAGGGAAAGAGAGGGCGATGACTCAGGAGCAGGAGGGCTAAGTGGATATTCTCACGTTGATTGACAAGGGGCAACATCCTTCTAGAAAGAATATTATTATGTTTCAGATCTGGGCTCCAGGTCTGAGAGGAAGAGTGCTGCACGGCAAGCTGATAGTCAATCCTCCGCTAAGGTGGAGCAATCAATGCTGCTCAGGGGTCCTTCGGCCAGACGGAAGGAAGCGTGTGCGCTCCTTAATGTAGTGCATTTTTTGACTTGCCGGTGGAATAGGAACCGGACTGACGCTCCCCAGAATAGAAGGAGCTAGGACCATAAGGTCCTATTGTTAAAAAAAAAAAAATCAATACAGGGTGGTAGTCCACTAGTAGTCATCCCCCCCCCCCTCTCTTTTTTTTTTTTCCTTTTTTTTTAAGGACATGCGAAAACTCGTGCTGCGGTTTGCACCCCTTTGCACATTCACAGCCATGCGTTCACGCGTCCGCGTGAACACGCGAATGGGCCCCGTTCATGAACGCAGGTGTTGGGATTGGCACTCCATGTATGGGTACGGAACGCTGTGGGGGATGTGAGATTGTGTATCGCATGTGCAGCGGGCCTCTAGCTGCCCTGGCCTACAGCCAGGGCCTATTGGGCTATTTGCCTGTTCGGCCTGTGGGACCAGGCGGTGGCCTGACCCCACAGGCCGTGTGCTGTTCCAGTCCAGTCCAGTCCTGCCTGGTACCATTGTCGCTACCAGGCAGTCCAGTCAAGTCCAGTCAGTCCGCTGGGGTTATACCCCAGCTGTTGTCTGTTTTCAATTCATTCTTCATTCTGCACATTTGGAGTACGTGCATGTTGAGTCTGCGTCGGAGCTGCTGTCCTTTCCATCTCCATCTCCATCTCTATCACCCTCATCCCTTCGTCCTCATCCTGACGGACCGCCATCCCGGCGGGTCTGCCACACTGGTATCAGAGCGGGAACGTTCCCCGCCCCCACCCACCACACCCCGTCACGGTGGAAAGGTGGTGCAATCCAGATAGCGGGATTTTGCCTCTTTTTTTGGCTGTTTTCACAGCAAACGAGCGGAGAAAAGTGCAGCGCCAAGGTTGCGGCAGGTGGCACGAAAAGAGAGAGCGTCATCACAATGCATGCACGCCAAGGCCAAGGCCATGGCCAAAGCACGCACGCACGCCACGTGCCCGCTCCTGGATTATACATATCAGGATCCAGGATGCACGCTGCTGCCAGTGTTTGAACCCAGACAGCTGCTGGCCATGCCCTAACACACTGGCCAAACTGTTTCCATGGCTTTGTAGTGCGGGACATTCCTGTTGAAGAGTTCCACATGAGCTATTTACCTCCTCCCTCCCGAGGCATCGTGGCTGGTGCTGCCTGCGCATGTGGCCATCTACAGTGCCACGTGGCAGCTTGCTGAGGACCTTGAAGAACCCCCTGGCTAGGGGGCTGTACTACAGGGAGATTGGGGTGGCTGATCAAGATCTCAGCACACCCAGATGATGATGATGATGATGATGGTGATGATTATTATTATTTGTACTGCTGCACCAACAGTTTTGGCAGCAGTGAAGATCCCCTTGGCTAGGGGGCTGCGCGTCAGTGCAATCAGGGTGGCTGATCAAGATCTCAGCCAACCCTTGATTATTTTATTGTTATTATAGTTTTTGTTGCTGTTGTTGCTGCAGCAGCAGGCTGCCATCATCTTGAAGGCCAAGATCCAGTGAATCTTTGTGATCTTGTTGCTCTTGGCCAACCAACAGCCTGGTATCATCTCTCCCCACTAACCTACTCTCCCACCCCCCCGCCTCTCTCTCTCCCCTACACCATCTCATTACCTCTTCTACCTCTACCACTATTCCCCCCCTTCTTACCTCAGAGTCTCTCTTCACTCATGTTCCACCATCTTTTCTTCCCTCCCCTCCCCACTCACCATCTTCTACTAATCTCTTCCACTTCTCTCCACTCTTCTCATCACTCTCTCTCTCATTCTCCCACCCCCCTCTCTCTCTTCCCTCCCCCAACAACAACCCAATCATCCCCCCACCTCCCCCTTCAATCTTTCTCTCTTTCTCACCTATTTTTCTCTCTCGTTATCACTTTTTCAGCCCCCCTCACGCCCAACTTCGAATTTTTCGGTTCTTTCTTCTTTTGTCTTTTTCTTCGATTTAATTTTTTTCTCTTTTCTCTAAAAGTCTGAATTATCTTCTCCCCCTACTTCTTTCTCATTTTTTTGATTATTTTTATTTTTATTTTTATTTACTATGAAAATTTGATTTTTTTCTGCGGCACCTCTATATCTGTTTAGGACTTAGCTATTTCAGCTATCAACGCACATTTTAACCCCTTGGGGGTAACAAAGTGCTGCCAAAATTTTCTCTTTCCTCCCCACTCTCTCCCATCTTACTTAGTCATTTTTTCTTGTCGCCACACTTCGACCCCATGGGGTAAACGAAATGCCGCCGAATTTTTTTAAAAACCCAACACTTAGTTTCTCTTCACTCTCCAAACCCAACACTTAGTTTCTCTTCACTCTCCAAACCCAACACTTAGTTTCTCTTCACTCTCCTCCACCTCCTCATTTATTTACTTATTTATTAATTAATTAATTAATTTATTTATTTATTTTTTTGAAAATTATCATTTGGGCATTTTGAAACTTAGTGTGCTTCTCTTGGTCTCTCCTTCCTCTTGTCACATTTTTGACCTCATGGGAGGTCGGGAAATGATGCCGAAAATTCAAAAAAAATAAATATTTGTTTTCTCTTCACATTTTGTTTACTTATTTTTTTAATTTTTTTATTATTTATTTTCTTTTATTTTTATCTCAAAATTTTACTGTTTTTTTCAAGCATTTTTTCTTATTGTCATTATAGTATTACGGGGAACCCTATAGCAGCCACATCCATGCTCAAGCCTCCAACGAGGGAACATGAGGGAGCTGCACCCAACATCAGGTGCGATATCTTTTCCCCTCCTCTCTATGGTTGCTATTTTCTTTTCTTGATCAGGTCACCGCTACCCCACCTCAACCACCCAAACTCCGGTTAGGGTTTTCTTAGGGTTTAGGGTTCTCATAAACCCCCTCGTCACCCGCCTCCTCCTGCCAGGCACCCTGGACCTGAACGGCTCCCCTCCCCTCGACTGGATTCGCACCATCCTCTCACGAGCGACCCGCTGGTCATGGGGCCATCCGACTCACGGCTACCCACTCCGCTCTTGCGGTCCCCTGCCTCTCACGAGTGGTCCCTTGTCCCCACGCCACAACCCATCTCTTTCCCCACCTCTTTCTCCACCAATCAATCAATCAATCAATCAATCAATCAATCTATTAATCAATCAATGGAAGAAAAAAAAAACGAGAAAAATAACGCCTATTTTTTTTTCTTTTTTTCTTTTTTCAACTTTTTTCAAGGAAGACCCTCCACCAAAAAATTATATTTTTTAAAAATTTTGTTTTCTGTGAGGGGGTGGGGTGGCGTTTGCGCAACCCCAATCCACTTTAGAAAACCCCGCCCGTCCCCCCCACTTGCCACCACGTGGCCGAAAAGTCGCACGGCCGCACGACCACAGGCGCAGCTGCGGCCATGACCGCTCACGGCTGCCTCCGTGGGAGATTCATAGCAGTCGGGAGGGCGATTGTACGTATGGAGGTCGCGACGGGGATAGAGATGCGGACGCTTGGAGGGGGGAGAAGGAGACATCGGCGGTTGGTTAGTGGTGGGTACAGTGGGGGGACGATGCTCCTTTGCTGCAAACTATAGTTGTTCGCCTGATGCACACGTGCACATGTGTCTCTCCTGCGGAGAGGAACTGGGCTGTCCACGAGCGCTTTAAGGTGAAGAGGCGGAACAAGCTTGGTTTTATGAAACTCAGTCGTTTGGTGGAGATATCCACCAATTTAAGACTGCTTCGGTGCCACAGTAGCGGTGCGGGATACGTCCTTCCATGGGAGGATGAGGACGTCGCCACGGAGGACGGGAGACCGGAGCCCCACGACTCACGAGTCCGCCCCGCGGACAAGGTCACCACTGAGCAGCTGGACACACAAGTACGAAAGGGACGAAAGGATTCGCTCACCGACAACCTGCAACCATGGAGAGATTTCGAGAGGCGAACGACGGTTTTGTTGGCATATGAGGAGGAGTCAGTGTATGACCCTGAGCCCGACCCTCTCGCACAGGATGAGATTGAGGTGGAGCCATGGTCAGATCCAGATGACCTAGACGCGGAGTCGGAGCAATCCTCAGACGATGATGTTCCGCTTGCACGAATGTGGCCTCAGACGCGAGAGTCGACCTCAGTCCATCCTCATCTTTCCCAACGCCTTCCACACACTTTTGCACCCGCAGTCTATGTATCACCCGCGGTCATGACCGTGGGCCATTTTATCACACGCGGTTGGGATCCAGACCGCTGCGGGCACCCGTGGCGGCCAACCGCGGCCCCCAAAACCGACGATTTAAAAAAAAAAAAAGGGCCAAAAATAAAATAAAATGGGGTTGTAGGGTCTGAAATTCCCTGCATCCCCATATTTTTGTTTTTGGATTTTGATGCTTTCTGTTATTTAAAAAAAAAAGAAAACAAAAAAAACAAGTATTAAAATCAAAGAAACACTGTCACAATAAAAAAAAGATTTTTTTTTTTTTCATTTTTTCCTGATTGCTGGTGTGTGTGTGTGTGTGTGTGTGTATGATGTGTGTGTGTGTGTGTGTGTGTGTGTGTGTGTGTGTGTGTAAGTGTGCATGTGTGTGTT